TAGATTTTCTATGTGAAATAAGTGGTTGTTTCAAAAAGGTAATTTATTACCTTCTCTATTATTCGTTTTGGAATATGTTACTTTTGTTTAATCATATTCAGACTTGCTATGCTAAATGAACTACATCAAAAAGGTAAGATTAAAAAATCGATCAATCTATATTAGTATGATATTGTTATAAGCACCGTTAGAGAGGTGTGTGTTAGGTGCCAACTTGGAAGATGTTGCGAAAAGATATGTTAACCTTGTTACACATGTGTACCAAAAAGTTAAAGTAATTAATTATTAATCTCAAATTATAGACGTATGGAATTAATCATCATTTCCTAAGGTAATTATAGTCCAATATTGGTACCTATAATCATAATACTATTAATAATAACTAAAACTAGATTTTAATTAGTTTCTTCAAGATCCATATGGTTTGCCAAATCCCAATCATGCAATCATGTGGGATTGTGGGTTAATATTAATTTGGTTTTTTTAGATGAATAGAACTAGTTTTTACTCTTTTATGAATAAATTTTTCCAAGATATATAAAAATCATTTAATATTTACAATTCAAGTTATATTAAATTATAAAACATTAATTATTAGATTAAAGAACATCTTTAATTATAAGAGAGGATTATCTTTTTAATAAATAATGTTTTATAATATAATACAGTTTAAATTATAAAATATTAGACTCATTATTTAATCTTTCATCAAAATATATGATTAGGATAGATATCACTTTTTAATAATGAATGTACTTGAAATGTGAAACTAATTGAGGTTGCAACGACTAACCAAGCAAGGATTGCTCAGTGCATGATTTGTAAGGGGCACGTTCCGTTGCTGTAATCTGGGATAGTCTCTAGAAAAAGGTAGAGTGGGCCATTTGTGAGCCTAAAAAGCTTAATATACAAAGTGGAAAAAAAAAAGAAAAAAGAAAAGAAAGTCACCATAACTTAGCTTTTTGGAGCACTTGTGCTAGCCCCGTGCCCCATGGGGGGTCCTTCTCAGTCTCACGTTATATTCCTTCTTCAACAACAACAGTTCCCCTTTATGATTTACAATTTAATTATACATATAACAAAAAGTAAAAATCAAGATATTATAAGAGTATTAAAAATATTAATATGTCTAATTCTATTCCTATAATAAATAGGATTTAAATAAAATTTAAATCATAACTCACTTATTCTATAGTTAAAATTAATTACATCTATCTTGTAAGGGTAGAGCAGAGCTCAAGGTAGGGTGTACGACAATTACAATAGGAACGCTCTTATCCGATCACCTGCCCTTATCTAATCTTTCATTTCTAAGAGACTTGCTTCGTTAGAGCATGCTATACTCATTTAATGCGATTGCTTCATTAAGACACATTACGTTCACCTAAGATGTCTGTTCCATCATACAAATCATGTCATGATTACTAGGTTAAGCGAGCCACGTGAATACCCTATCAACATATACATATACTTCCACGAACTACTAAAAAAAGGTAAGATAAGAAATCAATCAAGAACTCTTTCATACTTCCTTCTAAGAGAGCATAGCTTAGATTATTGCTAGTTTAAGTATCGGAGTGTCTACCTCAAGGAGCACCTTTGGGGCTTTGCAGGTTAACTCGAAGAGAAGATTGTAGCAAAGGAGATCTTGAAGGATTTCTGCATCAACACATCTTGATTTTTACCTTTTTTTAAAAAAATAAATGTAATAAATATTTTTCTATAGTCTTATGTGATATGGAAAATTTTGAAAAAGTGAGGTTGTAAGAGATGAGAAAGTTGGAAACTTAGTGGGGTAGAATAATGTTATACTGAATGAAATGGGCAATTCAGAGTGTAGGCCTTCCCCATCAAGTTTAGAAGCTGGTATTGGACTAAGCAAAAGCAGATGGCCAACGCTGCTTCTCTCCACCAATTTCTTTCACACAATATCCAGTGCAGATTGACACTACACGACTGTCATGACACATGTTATATAGAAATGAGGATCAAATGTGATTTTTATTCAATTATGATAAGAAAAAAATTTAGTTTATCTTAAATCATCTCGTGTCTGTATTTTTATTTTTCTTGTTTTGCAATCAAGCGGTGTCTAGATTGATTTCCACATGATACATGCATGAAGTATTTCCAAAGAAATTATTGATGATATAGAAGAAATTGTGCCAAGACATACCATACTCAATTAAACTTATATTAACTCTTTTTTTTGGATATATCAGGTGATTAATTACTTAATGTGATAAAGATTTGAATTTCTGATTTGGATTTTAAATTAAAATTTTTTACTTAGTAAGTACTAATTACACTAATCTCTTGTTGATACTTATATTAACTCCATGTTTCCTTTCTTTATGGAATCTTCATAAACACCTTTTTTTTGTAAATATCTTCATAAATTCTTCTAATAGTTGCAAAGTAATGTAAGAAGAGAGTGGTGTGAATGAAAATGTGTTACATAATAAAGATGGTGCCTTTTGGAGGCAACTTAAAGTACAACTTAGAGGTCACAAATTAATCATGTCCAAAGCAGCACATGGGAAAGCAAAATATTGACCGAACCTTAGATTCCGCCAGGCCGAATTAATCTCTATGCGGCAATACCTTGTAATTCCACAACCTCACACACTTGTTTAATTTTTTCTCTGCAGATTTCCGGGGTCCTTTTCTTTACTTCCACAGATATCTTGTCGACCAGTTCATCTAGTTTTTTCCATTTTGTTGTTTAGCCTTTTACCAAAAAGCAAAGCTGAAACCTGGGGAAAGCCTGCCCTTATCTTTACTCTCTCTACCATATAAAAAATCTTCTTCCTCTTCTTCTTGGGATCTCTAAAGAAGAAAGCGTTTCACTTTCAAATCACTTTTTTTTTTCGTTTGTGTGCATTGTATTAATCAAATGCTTTAAGGATAGTGCATGATAATATGACATGGGTTCATTCTATGAACTGAGTGCTCCTTCTCATTTTCTTTCTTCTTCTTCTTTTATTTTTGGGTCCAGTGGTCTCCAAGGTAGGGAATGGGGAAGCAGATGGACTTTATTAAGCTAATGTTATATAAAGTTTGAATTGTGCCAACAAAGCATCCATGGTTTAGTGGTAGAATATTAGTACCCCCACCATGACACGAACCCGGGTTTGATTCCCCGGCTGATGCAAATGAGCTATGAGGAAAATTTGTAGTGATGGCAGCGTCCATCACAATCATCTGAGCTAAGATGAGAGAATTGCATCTAAGTTCATGAATCTTTTTAACCACTTAGATCAACTGAAGTGATTAAGAAATTAAGTATTTATAAAATTAGTTAGAACTAAATGTCCAGATAGATATTTATGTTATTTTAAAAAGTTTAAATTGGATATATGACTTGCAAAATAATACTGATTTACACCAATTGCAATCCTTAAATGTTACTTTACATGGTAGTAAAACTTATTACCTAAAGTGGATATCTTTGCGAGAAAGTAAAGTTAATTATACCCTTTCAATAAAAACTTTGAGGTAAAGTTATTAACCTTAAAGAATAATGTGAAGAGACTTGACCAGATCCACACCTTGCAGCCAAAAAAGCATATAGTAGTATTTGATTTTTGGACTGATGCAGTATGTGATGATTCACGATTCATCGAATGCCAATAGGATCAAACCTTGGATTTTGTATCCCATTATCACTTTAATAAAATAAAACTCATTCTCTCTTTTTTCCCTTTGATCCGGGTGTTTAGTTAGCCAACTCTGTTTGACTAATAGAATGGAACGTGGCTCATGAGAATCATGAAATTATATAACAAAAAAAAAAAAAAACCATTGGCCATTAATTCCCATTTACTCGTTTCCCAATCTAAATGTATACCATTATATAAACCCCATATACTTTTTATATTAAAAAGCTAGATATGAATATTGCTAAGTATGCTGCCATTCTTCAATGATTGCCACTCTTTTCTTGTGGAGCATCGAATCATGCAGGGGTCCCTGGTGGAGTCTAATTAAGATTAGGGGTTTAGGGTTTTATTTATAATTTTTTAAAGACTAATCATCTTTCCACTTCCTTCATTTGAAAAAATTCTTTGCCCCTTGGGAATATAAAATGGCATGGAATTTGTTAATTTATGGGTGGCTATCGTGTGAAACAAGGTTGTAAGAAAGATAGAAGCAAACTTACAGACCATAATCTCGATTTGCCAACTTAGAAAGATTGTACCACCTAAGATGGGATAAGAAGTCAAAGAAATAAAGCACAAACTTCTTAGGGGTCTCATGACTCATAGGACCTAGGAATTAGACCACCCAACCCAATTTTGAGATCATGAGATTAGGTTGTCACTAATTTTGAGATTTCAAATGAGAAAGTAGTAATCTTTCACCTATAACTTTAAAATAAATCATGATTTGAGGTTATATATATAAAGAAATTAGTATTTATCAATGTTCTTCTAAAAACTTATAAAAAAAATTATCTTAAAATAATATCATTTCAATAAACTCCATCCAGTGTTTTATATTTGAATTAGATTGTATTTAATATTTTTTTCATGAATTTTTATATAAATGACATAACTGGATGAGACAAATAGTTTTCAATATTCAGGAATTTACCTTCATTTAATCAGTTATATTATGCAATTTCATATGATTTTCAATCTATATAATACTTTTTAATATATATATATATAGACACACACCATGTTTTGTAAAGTGGGAGCTAAATGACACTAAGCTACTAAGAAATTCTTGTATGACCTAATACGGTGAAGGTGATGGTGTTATGTTATTGACGGTGAAGATCAGATGGTACCCAACTCAATTGGAATCAAATTTGGAATCCATTTGATTCTTGTATGACCCAATATGATGAAGGTGATAGATAGTACTATGTTATTGCTAATGAAGATCGGATTGTACTCAATTCAAAACCAAATTTGGAATCCATTTGATATATACCTAATGATCCTCTTTCCCCTCATTCAATCCCCTATCCCTTAGCCTCATTTTGGGTCCTAATCTTCGTCGATTTCCATATAAACAAACAAGATTTGCAAGTCTAATAACAACACATATGCACTAGCTAGGCAATTGTTTTTGTATTATTAGAGGATCTATCAATGCCAAGAAAAAGCAAAGAAATTAAAGATCCATGAAAGGCCCACCACCAGCACCATCCACTATGTATTTTTCATATAAGATGCCATAGATGAGCTGGGATTATGCATAATTAACGTTTGTTTTATCTTTCTAATATATTGATTTAATTTTGCTTAAGTACCTTTTGTCAGTTCATTAGTTTAAGATGGTATGGTGACATAAACTTATTAAGTATTAGGCAACTAACTCCACCGGCAGCGTTATTCATATGTTGTATATGTGTATGCAATACTTTCAATTAATATTGAGTACTGCTTCTAGAGCAAATCCCAGCATCAATATCGTAATGATCCAAAGCCTAATCTTTATTAAATAATATTAATTTCAAAGTTTTTAATGGGGATAATTGTATTATGGAAACATCAATGCATGCCAAAAACCATATCTCCATGAAATGATTTTTCAATCATATATGTGATTTCTGGATAATCTCACATGAATTGAGTTTGGATCTGTTTGATGATTCACATCACATTAGCATACCCACTTGCTAATTGTAGCGGCAAATCACTAGTAAGACTAACTAATTAGTAGAATAATAGCCACTTATTTTTTTTAATAAAGTATTTTAACTGATAAAAACTTAAGATTTTAAGTTGAAATCTGTAAATCCAAACATTAAGATAAGTGGAAATGGATTTAAGAGAAAAGAAGGCTATTCATACTATATAGTTCATCATCTGTGGAGCCATGGCTCAACAAGAAGAGAGATGTATTTATTTTTTATGAAATAAGACAAAGAGTTTCTTTTTATAGTCTAAATTACACAAAACTGTAAAGCAGAACCATTGGATGGAGAAAGAACTCTCAATAAAAAAAATAAAAAAAAAAACACCCTTATTTAATAGTTAAAGTTGTATTCTGAACTACTAAACACATTTTCACAAGGCAAATCTATAATACCAAATGTGAGAGGTGAAAGAGAGACAGCAATAGGATGCATGCTGCCTCAATGTGGATACTGAAATTTGAACTTGGGGAACAAACGTTGCAAAGTGGCCTGGCAGTATTCAATCCTTCTCAGCAAGGGTATGCGTCTTCATTTGGGCTTGAGCCTAAACCATTTACATAGAGACCAGGATACTGGTCCAAGAGGGATTCAGAATTAATAAGCATGGCCCAATCATAATAGGGCAAGTTTGTAACTTTGCACCTTATCTTGGTCCAACTAATCAGAAATTAACAGAAAAGTAGAAGGGCTTCATTGACTCTGAAAAAACAATTAGGGGCTTACCTGACTTTATTAAGAAGTTGAAGGGGGCAAATATTAGGTTTTCCCTCTCTTTTGATTAGCTTCTTAGCGCAGTCCCGTTCGACTCACCAAATCGTAAAGCTGCGAAGAATTGCTATCGACAATGCAACATCCACTCTCACTCTCCCGCTTTCCTCGCCACATCTCCTCCTCCTTCGTTAAATCTCGCCCTCTCCACATCCTCTCCTCCGCCCAACCCACCGCCGGTCTATCCGTCGCCGACCAATCCCCACCCTCCAACTCACAAATACTCTCCATCCGGCACTCCCTCCTATCCGGCCACTTTACTGCAACTCAACTTGCCGAGTCCTATCTCAACCGCCTCAAGCTCACTGAGCCCCAACTCAACTCATTCCTCCATATCTCCAACAATGTTTTGAAAGAGGCACAGGAGATTGATGACAAGATTAAGAAAAAGGAGGAACTGGGTCCACTTGCTGGTGTCCTTGTTGGGGTAAAAGACAACATTTGCACTGTGGATATGCCCTCCACTGGAGGCTCCCGCATTCTGGAAGGGTATCGACCGCCATTTGATGCCACGGCTGTGAAAAGAGTGAAGGAATTGGGTGGGATTGTGGTGGGGAAGACTAACTTGGATGAATTTGGGATGGGAAGTACCACTGAAGCTTCTGCCTTTAAGGTTTGGTTTTCATTTAAAATATGTTTGTGGGTTCAATTGGGTGTTCTTGCTGTTACTTCTTTTAGGTAAATATGTTGGTTTTAGTAATTTGACGTGTCTATTTGTAATGGCAAGTGTGGTGTAGGTTTGAATATAAAAGGTAAAGGGAACTGGAAAATGGTCATAGTTGTAGTATTCTCAAAGTTAGATGTAGGATAGCTGTATTGGCAATGTACTGGTAAAAAAGGTAGAAGCTGTTTTAGTATGGGTATCACTAGCCAAGAGCTGCTGTTTTATAGGTAGCGCAAGCTGAGAGCTGCTTGGAACTTATTTGGCTTAAGTTTTCTGTAGTATTTAGTAAACTAGAGAAGATGTCTGTCCAAATTGTAAGTAGAACTAATGTTCATCGTAGTTTCTTCGCTAGTTGATCTTAAAATTGTGATGTTTTTAAACAAAATATCTTTGCTTTAAGGAGAGCTTAAGAAGGCAATAGCAATACTTCCTCCTTAGCAATGTTAAATATTCCAATGTCCAACTTAAGTGTTTGTCATAACTTTTCTATGACTCTTTTCCTGACTACTGCATTTGATTAACACTCTTAGTGTGCTGGTTTGCCTTTCTTTTTCCCCTTTGTGATGGAAGTCTGTAGTTAAACTCTTGATTGTATACTTTGCTTCCAACTGGTAACTGGACTTGGTTTACTCAGGTGATACATCTGTTCATTCATTAGGTGACTGCAAACCCATGGGATTTGTCTCGGGTACCTGGAGGATCATCAGGAGGCTCAGCAGCTGCTGTTTCTGCTAGACAATGTGTGGTATCACTTGGGAGTGATACTGGTGGAAGCGTAAGGCAGCCAGCATCATTTTGTGGTGTTGTTGGTCTGAAACCAACATATGGACGTGTCTC